GCCGAGAACTAAAAAATAAATATTAAAAATTCTCTCTCTCTCTCTCTCTTCTCTCTCTCTCTTTAAAAAAAAAAAAAAAGAAAATTTAAGCATCCTTAATTTTTTTTTATTGTTTTATAAGGCACAATTGGTGGATCTAAGATCTGAATTGACAGAGACCCAAGCAGAGAAAGTTGTATTGGAGAAAGAAGTGCATGATCAGCTTTTACAGTTGCACTCTGTTCAGCTTCAGCTTCATGCTAAAACTGGTCAAAGTGTTGATTCTGGTACCATTAAAGCAAAGTTGGTAAGTATTTAAAGAGTGACATGTATTTCAGAAGGTATAGAGGATAATTTTTAATTAGGCATTTCAGTTATAAAACATCAAATGTGCTTGTTGTGGAAAATTTAGGTTACAGGAAATACAAAGATTGTAATCATCTTTTTTGTCTACAATCTCACCATCAAGAGATAATTAATGATAATATCAATAACCATCTGATAGCTAGAATAGAATTTTTTCCTATTTAAAAATGTTTAAAAGAATTTGTGATTATTATATAGAAACAATTTTTTACTATATCAGGATTAAGTTCTGCAGCATATAATTAAAACCCCACTGACATTGGGATTATTCTTAAATAGTAGTTATTTTTCTCTCAAAAGAACTCTGAGTTGTTAGGACAGCTCTATAGATTCAAGGACCCAGTTTCCCTCTTTTGTAGTGCTATGCCAGTTTTAGCTCATTGTTTCCATACTCAGGGTTTCTTCTGTCTGCACTCCAGGCAGAAAGAAGGAAGAATCTTAAGGAAAGGGCAAAAAGATGCTTTTCACCTGTGTTAATCTCTTTCAAGAATTTTTCATCAAATTCTCCTTAGTAATTTCAGCCGTCATCTCCCTGGCTATCCCTAGCTGCATGCCAGTTTCTTAGTTGGTTTCAAGGCCACTTTCAGTGCTGTTGGAGTTCTATTAATAAGGAAGGGGAAAATGGAATTGGATGCCATAGAGTAGCACATTGTCTTTGCAGGAATTTGTCATTCTTTTGCTTTTAGTTTATTATAAGCATCTTTTCCTGCTATTGAACTCTTTGCAATGTCTGCATGTTACTTCATTGTATGAATTTACTCTAATTCAATTTGTCTCTTAATTAATGGGAAAAAATTTGAAATCTCATTTTAATTTAACCTCATGTACTGTGTGTATGCTATGTACCAGACATTTTATTAACTCTGTGGAGACATAGTGATAAATAGGCATGCATAACTTTGGAGAGACAGAACATGTAGTGATGCTTGATATGATGAAAGTAATGTGTTTTGAAGTTTTAATTGTTTCCAGCTATTTTAATTGGTTTCTTGTACTGATATGTTAGAATTTATTTAAATGAATATATTCTAAAGTCCTTAAATTATGAAATTCTGTGAATTTAAGTTAGTAGTGGTTTATCTAACTGAATAAAGGTCAGATCATAACTGCTTCTTTGAGTTATTTGATAATAACATTAAAAAATAATCTACATATTTCACTAGGAAAGAATTTAACTGAAATTTTAATATTAGATTTGAAATATGGTACTATAGAGGAAAGAACACTGAACCAATTGTGTTTTATGTGTTTAATAAAACAAAAAATTTTAATTTAGTACTGTATGGTTATTATTGTTTATAGATTTGCAAATATATTTTTTCTTATGAACTTTACCCAAATGATATTCAACATATAGAGATTTTCTTTATAATGATTATACCACTAGGTAAATTCATTTGTTTGATGGTTTTCTAATTGTAAAACTTTTTTCTTGTATCTTAAGTCTGTCCCCTCTATGGAGGAGCTGGTAAGTATGTTGTTTCTGTTTTGCTTTAATATGTCATGCTGAAGTGTTCCTTTTGTTTTATTTGCATAATACATGTTGTCACTCTTTGTATTTGAAAACTATGTTAACAGTAGCAACTTTTAAATTTCAAATACCTGAAAAGTTCAATGGATGGCCCGTTTTACTTTTCTCACTGCATGTTGTTAAACTTTTTCTTTTGTTTGTGATTTATAGTCATTATTTGCAGAGCCCATCAGTGTTTGACAACCTGCATAGCCTGTGGCTTGTTCAGAACTCTACTTAAAAGAGTAATTGGTTTCCCCACACAAGGGTATTAAAAATATATTAAGAAGCCTAGTATTTAGCCCTGTTAAGTTTCTATTTGAATTTATTCCCAGAAAAAGATGATGCATGTTGATTTCTTGGTTATCCACTGCATGTGTTACATTTTTTCAGCAGTCTTGAGAAAAATTGTGTGGCTTTTTAAACAATTAGATTTTGAAAATCTTTTACCAGAAATTAATTTGAAAATAACAAAGTATAAAATTTTTGTATCAACCTAATGAGGTTTTATTTTATCTTATGACTTTACATCTTTTGAAAATTTATTCTTTGGATAACTAAATTAAAAAAAAACCTCTTGTTTATTACCTAATAATAAGCAGATTAAATTAAAAAACAGCAAAATTATCTTGAATTCTGAAAGTAATTACTTTCAGTTAACTTAATCGTATTCTTTTATCTATTAATTTCAGCTCTCAGAGTTTGTCAGATTCCTTAGGGGTTTGAATCATTAATGCAAAATGGTAGTTAATGTTTCTCAGATTTCATTAATATAGTATAAATAGCTCATTAAAGTAATTGAAAGTCACTGTACACCAAATAACTCTTGATCTTTTACGAATATTTTTTCTGAAAGGGCACCAACTTTAATAAATGTCATAAAACAATTTTTGTTCATGTTATTCAAACTGTCTTTATGTGGTGGGGGGAGGAAAGATACCTCCCCTTTTAGGAAATAAGTTCTGAAATAAATTGTGATGTTAATAATTCCAAATTTATTACGAAAGAGAATTTTGGATTATTAGTTTTCATAATCTTTAAATATAATGTGGACAATCCCCAGTACTGCAAAACAAACTAACAAAAAATATCTAGAGTTGTGTTCTAAAGGATATATATATATGTATATATTTTTTTTTTACAGAAGTTGAAAAAGTTTGCTAATCTTCCTTATATCGTATATATAACAAATATTTTGAAACAAAATGATAAATGCATTCAGCATTTTGTAGTTTTCATTAATTTTAGCTTCTATGTGTGTGTGTATGTATATGTGTATTTGCTTAAAACATACACATATTTAGGAAAATGTATATTTTTAATATTATGATGTAACATGTTCCTTGAATTTTAATATATCATATTTTTTATGTTAGTCAAAACAGTAGACCAAAACAGACAATTGAAACAGTACCAAAATACATTCCAGGAATTGCTAAAAATTTGCTTAAATTTGTTTTTAGCATCTCAGTATTGAGAATAAAAATGGAAATAATTATGTAGTCTATGCCCATACAATAGAAACAATATCATTTGCCATTTCCTCAAAAGAAAGTTTTTTCTTGATACTAAGACAGATTTTTTTGAAGTTTTCATAAAAGAATGTGGTGGTATTAGTAAACAATGTCTTATACATCTGATGAGCATGTATCACCTTTTTGTAGCATTTGTGGATTCTGTAAATCAGAAGTCAGTAAAAGCAGTTTTGTTCAGGATAAGTGCAAGTTTTTGGGTGGTTTTCTTCATTCTAAATAGTACTTAAAGCACCTACTAGGGTCTACATTTAAGGTTTTGTTTGACTTTACACTATGTATATTTGATTTTGAATTTGCCTACCTTTGAGCAGGACTTTGAACCTTCTGTTCTTCATTCTCTCTCCTTTGTCTTGAAGCTACCTGTCTGTTCTGTGTTTGGGTCATTTGTAACCCTGAAGGCATTTACATTTATAATCCTTGATCTTTGGGAATATATTGTCTGTACTTTATGCTTTTAAGGTGAATTGAATATTATTTCTCACATATGAACCTGTGATTAAAAACTTGATAGCAAAGACCTTGTGGGTTATACATTTTGGCTCACATGTATAGATTCACATAGATGGACTACCTACCTAGTGTAGCATTGGAGGGCATCCTTTTATGAAAGCTGAAATTGGATAGTCATTTTACTTCATCAGAGACAAAGGGAGGCCAGTGTTTTCCTCAGAAAACAGTTCTACATCCACTTTAACATAGACAAATAGATGAGCCAGATCCCAAAGTTTAGTGATAATCTACACCAAAGATGCACTTATCCATAGAAATTTTTAATCAGTAGAATGTTTTTTTTTTCTTTTAATATTAGAATAATGGGCTGAGTATGTAGCTCAGTGGTAGAGTGCTTGCCTAGCATACATGGGCTACGTCCTGGGTTCTATTCCCAGTACTGGGGGCGAAAATTAGAATAATTCTTTTAATTTAAGCATTTTGTTTTTTAAAGTCCTCCAAGTTAAATTTAGTTATAAAATGAATCTCCATGTAACTGAATGATTTTGACTTGTCTTATAGCATTGTTGCATTAAAATTAATTGTTAGAAAAAATAGTGATTATATTAGTCTAGTTTCTTAAGTAATTTTTAGGAAATAAGTTGCAGATTTCATTATCTACTTAGAGAAACTGCTTCTTCTACTATCCTCAATATCAGGGTGCTTTATCACCTACAGTTATCTAATCTATAAGACATATGGTACGAATTTAAAACAAACCAGGTGGGCTGGGAATGTAGCTCTCATTGATAGATTGCTTGCCTAGCTAGTATAAGGCCCTGGGTTTGATTCACAGCACTACCAACAACAACAACAAAAAAGTCTCAAAAAGAATCAGATTCAAACCTTTGTGTTCTATTACACAGAATTGAAGTGGCAATTTTTATCATATCATTGTTGGTATTATAGACTGTGTGCTGATGTGTATTTTAAGGAACATGGTCTACTGCTTAGAGTCATAGGAATTTTTATTAATTTATATTTTTTAAAAAATCACACTAGGAAAGAGAGCTTGAAGCAAACAAAAAAGAAAAGGTGAAAGAAGCTCAACTTGAAGCTGAAGTGAAATTATTGAGAAAAGAGAATGAGGCCCTTCGTAGACATATAGCCGTTCTCCAGGCTGAAGTTTATGGGGCAAGATTGGCTGCCAAATACTTGGATAAGGAACTGGCAGGAAGGTGTGTAAAAAAATGGGCATACTTGTATTCTTAAGTGACACATTGGATATTTAATGAGACTGACTCTACTTGTTATAAATGAAATAATTTTTATCCCTAGAATTATTTTGTAGTTGTTTATGTCTTATTATTGTTAAATTGATATCGATAATATTATATATTGCATGTATGTTTAAGCATACATACAGATACATTAACACAGATAGTAATAGTCAGCTTTTTGTCCTGTGACCAAAATACCTGACAAGAAGAAACTAGAAGAGAAAAAGTTTATTTTGGACTCAGTTTCAGAGGTTTCAGTCCATGGTTGATTGGCTCGATTGCTCTAGGCTCAAGGTGAGGCAGAACATGATAGAAGGGGCCTGGCAGAGGAAAACTGCTTAATTCATGGCAGCCAGAAAGAGAGAAAGAGAGAGAGCTGGGGGTGAGTGTGAGAGGAGCTTGCCTCCAGTGACCTACTTCCTCCAGCCATGCCATACCTTTTTACAGTTATTACCCCAATAATCCATTCAGGTGATCAACCCATCAGATCAGTCTACTGATTAGATTATAGTTCTCATGATCCTTTCAGTTCTGGACATTGATGTATTGCCTAACATGAGCTTTTGGGGGGACACCTCATGTTCAAACCGTAATACAACTTATTGTGAAATGCTGACAACTTTGCGGAGGATCATATTCCATCTACTTCCTGCCTTGACAACATAGCAGGTGATGTTCACATTGCCCCCTCAAAAAAAAAAAAAAAAAAAAGAAATAAAAAAGTTGGAATTATCATTAAAAAAATAAATTCCTCTGCCATTAATTTTTGAAGGTAAATCATTTATGACCTTTGGTGATTTATTATTAGTACTAAGTCCTTTTATACTTATTATTTTAATGTTACATTGAGAACTGATGTGAAGCATTGAAAAAATTTCTATCTTAAATTTTTTTTTTTTTGTAGTTGTAGATGGTCAGAATGTCTTTATTTTATTTGTTCATTTTTGTGGATTGAACCCAGTGCCTCACGCATGCTAGGTAAACACTCTACCACTGAGCTACATCCCTAGCCCAATTTCTGTCATCTTGAAGTACAAATTTTCTAATAACTTTTTACCACATTTAAAGTATTCATTTTGTTGGAAGAAACTATCATTAAAAGGAATTTTTCATACAGTCAGTGTCATCTAAAAGCTAATATTTAATACTGTTTAGTTGAGTTCAGTTAGTTACTTTGATTATATGCAAGGCATAAAACATTTTATTTAACATTAAAAGCATAAATTGTTTTTTAGATATTTTGAATTAAGTATATGACTAAAGGAATTTTCTCTCTCTCTTTTTTTTTCTTGGTCTTTTGGTACCAGGGATTGAACCTAGGGGTGTTCAGCCACCACTGAGTCACATCCACAGCCCATTTTTTACTTTTTATTTTGAGACAGGATCTCACTAAGTTGCTCAGGGCCTCGCTAAGTTGCTGAGGCTGGCTTTGAACTTATGATCCTCCTGCCTCAGCCTCCTGAGCTGGAATTACAGGTGTACATCACCATGCCTGGCTATTCATCTCTTCAAAAAAATTTTTTTTCCACTATTTTTTTCTTCTTCTTGAAAATGAATGTCCTTTTCAGAGTTTTCATATCTTTATAAACCTGAATGACATCAAGAAATTCCTGAGTATTTGTTTTGTTATCAGTTGAGATTTATGCAAAAGCTACTTGTGTTCAGTAATTCTTCTGAATCTCTCTAGTAAGTATAATAAAAGACTAACTAAACTCTTTTCTCAACATGAAGGGTCCAACAAATACAGTTACTAGGACGAGATATGAAAGGACCTGCTCATGATAAACTGTGGAACCAATTAGAAGCTGAAATACATTTGCATCGTCACAAAACTGTTATCAGAGCCTGTAGAGGACGTAATGACTTGAAACGACCCATGCAAGCACCACCAGGCCATGTATGTTACTTTGCTGCTGCTTCCCACACAACCCCTGCCTTGCTCTAATCACAAGTCTTTTCTGTTTTTCTAGTAGTTTGAAACCTTTATTTAAAGAGTGAAAATGGTATTCAACATATTTAAAATAGATGCATATTTAAAGTTTTGGTAACCCAGAGAATTTTTTTGGATATATATACTATAAAATAGTGGATATAATATTATGGTATTGTGACCACTTAATTCAGTCAGTTCTTTTTTTTTTTTTCTTAGTTCTCGGCGGACACAACATCTTTGTTGGTATGTGGTGCTGAGGATCGAACCTGGGCCGCATGCACACTAGGCGAGCGGGCTACCGCTTGAGCCACATCCCCAGCCCTCAGTCAGTTCTTAACAGACTAACTAAATGCCCTGAGAGTGATCTCTCTGCAGATTGTGAGCCATTGCTAGCAAACATATTTTGCACTAGCATACTTTGCATCACGTCTCAAAATTTCCTGGCTGATGATTGGGCATGCTTAAATTTGTTTTAAGCTTAGTTCAGTGCCTGTGCTTGGTTTGAACTTCTGTCCCGTACTTGAGAGCAAGTACTGGATAGAAGTTCATTAAGGCAGTTTTTAGTAGTTAAATACAAGTGTAGATTTTGAACTAACATTTATACCCATTTGGTCTTGGAATGAGATGGAATTTGAGATAATGTGTCCAATTGTTGTTTTCACAGCCATCATTTTATAGGAATTTTCCTCTCTATCTGCGTAAATTTTTATTATGTAGTTTTATTATAAGAGATGTTTGATAATACACACCTTAATATATGAAAACATGTCTAAACTCTTACCAAGTGGCTCACATTTTTTATTAAGAGATAAAATATTACCTTAAATAGTAAAAAATAATTTGTTGCTTCTACAAAAATTACTGTAAGAAAAATTGTTATGTACCTAGAGTGAGTGAAATAGGAATGGGAGATTGCAATACACACTTACATTATTGTTTTCTCTAGGACACTGGTGGTACCCATTAACTTTTAGGTTCAGTAGATTTGGGAAATGGAGAGATTAGGAAAGTAGTTAGTGTCTTGCCTGTCTGCGTGATAAAAGCATACTTGTGAAAGTGGCTAAATATAAAGCTGAAGTTTTTGTAGTGGTCAGATGAGAGAAGTTATTTTATACTACATAAAGGCATTTTTATTTTAACCTGAGGATCATGGGATCCTCATCTATCTAAATAAAATAGTGGATATAATATTATGGTATTGTGACCACTTAATTCAGTCAGAATATATTATGGTAATTGAAGGAGACAGTGGTGAAGGCAGGGGAAAAGGCATTTGAGAAGAAGGACAGCTTTGGGAGAATTAAAATTAGAAGGACTTGATTGGTTAAGTCCTTTACTGCTGTTAATTAAGTAGGTGAGTAAGAAGGAAAGAGTCTAGGTTTTGGGTTTGGGTTTTGTGATCTGGCTTTTTTCAAGGAGATAGAGGAAAGGAAGTTTCAGGGAGAAAGACAGTAGCAGTTTTAGATATACAATATTTAAGATGTCGGTGGGACATCCAAGATGTCCGTTCAATTGTCTGTATGATTGGATTCAGGAGAAAAATCTTGAGTTATGGCATGAAGGAAGAAAATGGATTACCAAACGAGGAGGGTTGAGATGGAGCTGTCAGATACAGGGCCATTAGGAAAGTGGTATTGATAGAAAGCAAGGGAAAAAAGCAGGTGTCAAGAAGAGTTAGGAAACAGGATCAATTTCTGCAGGCTTGAGGAATGGTAGTGAATAAAATGTGCTAACTGGATGTAGGAATATTTAGAGAAGAAAATTTCAGCTGTTGAGTTTAGGAGTAGAACCTTCATTTCACTGAATGTGGGAGGCAGGGAAATAAATACAGTACATATGAACTTTATGTGGAGGTTTAGGGAAGACAAAGGTGCATGGTTGCTAAAGAAGATAGTGGAGGATCAAGAGATTGTTTTGCGTGTGTACATGGTCAGTATTTTAGCTGAAAGGTGCTTAGAATTTGTCTTCTGGGTAGGGAAGAAGTTTAGTAGAAAGTAGAAATGTATAAGAGAAAAAATTGTTAATGGAGCAAAGTCCTTTAAGAGGTAAACTGTAGAGCACCAGGGAATGAAAAAGAAAATGATCAAATTGGAAATTTATTTTTATTTTATAAATTTCAAGTTGAAATTAAGTAAGTTGAAATGTATTTGAAATCAATTGAAATCATCAAGATATTTTTCAGTGAAGAAAGATATAGTTATCCACTTGGATTTCTTGAATATATTTAGACATTGATTAATTACTGACAGTAATTTCTTTTTTAATGTCCTACAGTTTTAAAAGAGATGTATCATTATTTTAAAAAATTGACAAAAGGGTGAGAAAACCATCTATAAATTAATATAACATTTTTTTCTTTTACTTCTTAATTACTTTCTTTACACTACAGTGTGTGTCTTTACCAGAAAAATCAATAAAGATTTCTAAAGGTGAGTTATGTAATGTGAATTTATCCTACTTAGAATATTATTTCAGTGATACTATTTTTTGTTTTCCTCCCGATAAGGATCAAGACTCCTTGAAGAAAAGCCAAGGAGTTGGTCCAATTAGGAAAGTTCTCCTCCTCAAGGAAGATCATGAAGGACTTGGCATTTCAATTACAGTAAGAAGTAGTGCTTCCAGTTTTCTTTTGTGCAATTATCTAGTATAATCATGCTCATTTGTTGGACATTATTTGGAGAACAAAATATTCTGGATATATTTTTAAATAAATATATCTAACACTTGGGCACAGTAACTTTGGTGTTGATATTTTTTTCCAATATATTTTTTTTTAGTTGTAGATGGACACAACATTTTTATTTTATTTGTTTTTATACAGTGCTGAAAATCTAACCCAGTGCTTCACACGTGCTAGGCAAGTGCTCTATGTCTGAGCCACAACTCCGGCCCCTGGTGTTGATATTTTTTCTTGTATGTAAATCTTAACAACTGCTAAGTGTGCCTTTAGGAAGCATAGTGTAACATTTTTATTATGACTGAAGTTATAGATCTGTATCACGTACTGTGATGCCTGTAGGAGCCTTTGGAACTGTTTTCTTCTAATGGCTCCAGATTGTGTTGTTTTCTTTCCGGTATGTGTTCTCTTTTTCTTGTCTCATTCATTGCTGTCTGATTGCACTAGGTTTAGGGTCTAAATTATACATATTCTTTTGTTAATTTGATGCCTTCACTTGTCTTGGACATCATTCCTAAGAAGAGTCTATTGGGAGTCCTTTTGTTTTAGTCTTGGTGCTTTACTGAATAGAGTAGTTTTTCATCTAATAATACTTAGGCACGTGTAAGTTCATTTTTCCCCCCTAGTGTTGCTTAATGTAGAAAACATTTCTTATAATAAAAAGTTCATCTCATCTGTTTATTAAGTATCTTCCTTTTAAACTACAGTTCCCTCAAAGTTTATAAACTTTAGTAGGAGAGTAATATGTACACACTTTGGTATGAGCTAGAAAGTGAGAGATACTAATTATTGTATTTCAATTCTACATTGCATATTTTTTCCACTTTTTTAAACATTTCTGAAATTGAGATGCAGCTTATGATCTTAGTTATTTTTGTGGTACATAAAATCAGTATCCTTTTCATACTTAGCAATTTAGATTTGATAAAATAAATGAAATACTAGTACATAAATATTTTAATTTATGTTTTAGAGTTTAGTCTATTGTGTTTTTGTGTTTTTTTTTGCATTTTGGTGTTTTGGCTCTGACATGTTATTAATCATTTTACATGATACTTATAATAATTTATTTATCATTATCTAAGTAACAAATTTTCACCCATTGTTTACAGAGGTGGTAGAGATGCTTTATGAAAGGTATTTTTAAGAAAATATTTTATCTCTAGAATAGTCTGTTACTACAATTTACAAAGTGTAAACTAATTTACTGCCTTTTTGTTGTCAGGGTGGGAAAGAACATGGTGTTCCAATCCTTATCTCTGAGATCCATCCAGGGCAACCTGCTGATAGATGTGGAGGGCTACATGTTGGGGATGCTATTTTGGCTGTCAATGGAGTTAACCTAAGGGACACAAAACATAAAGAAGCTGTAACCATACTTTCCCAGCAGGTAAATTCCTTTTATGTAATTAAAATTGAATCTATCACTTGGTTCCTTTTGAATCTATTGAAGTGTTATGGGTACACATTTGTTTCTTTTGATTTGGGACTTTTACAAATGTCATTAGGTCCGGTTTACTGAAAAAGGACCATTTCCTTGCCTACACAATTTCAAGTTATTTAAGTCCTTTGTGCTACAGTCTTCTTGTCTCTGTGTAGTAGGTTTTAAAATAGAGCTTTAGGGAGTGTGTTAACACTCAGATTATGATATGGTAGTTAGAAAGCAGCATCCTTAATTACATGATCATGATACAAATATAAAATGTTACAGAAAAGACAATACTTGAAGTAGATTTGTTTTAGAATAGATTTTAAAATAGAATATTGAACTGAAAGAATCCTTAGAAAACATTTAGCCCAATTCTGTTATTTAAAAAGAGTAAACTTATCTTCTTCAAGATTAGAAAAATTGCTTAAGGTTGCAGAACAAATACATTACAGAATTGGAATATGTATCCAAGAGTTGTATTGTTATCCGTTGTTATCTGGTGTATTTGAAAATCTTTTTTTTTCCCCCCAGGGGTGGTTGTCTTTTTTTTTTTTTTTTTTTTTGAGAATAGGATTGAGGAAATTACAGAGATGTTGTTAGTATGTTTAGATGTTTCTGGGATCATCAGTATAGTATGCCTGTGTAAAATTGAATCTTAGTTAAATGTGAATTTATAGCTCATTGGTTCAGCTCCATATCATGTATAAATCGCCTCTGCAATATAACTACTTATATACTGCATTAAAGGGAAGACTCACAGTCCATTCCATTCCATAGTACTATATAGTAAATATGTATATTTTTTATTACAAATATATTAAATAAAATACAGTACTATATTTTATTTATTTATTTATTTGTAGTACTAGGGATTAAACCAGTAGTACTGTACGACTCAGCTATATCTGCAGCCCTCCTCCTCCTTTTTTTTTTTTTTTTGTTTGGTACCCAGCGGTGCTATATCTTGAGCCCTTTTTAATTTTTTATTTTGAGATAGTGTTTCAATAAGTTGCTTAGGGTCTTGCTAATTTGCTGAAGCTGGCTTTGAACTTGGAATCCTCCTGCCTCAATCTCCCAAGTCCCTGGGATTACAGGCATGTGCTACCACACCAAGCTCCAGTTTACATTTTAATGTATCTGATAAGAGAGATATAAGAATGCTACTGTAGCCTCTGAAGTTAGTGATTCCTCAACCTAATTTGACTGTCAGACAGAAGCACAAAGAATGAGATGAATGGAAACTGGTAAAGGAGCTACAAATAGGCCATCATAATGTTTAATGAAATGCTAAGCACATATTAAAATTATCAGGTATAACTTTCCTAACAGTTTAGTCTGGGAAGAAAGAGCACCAGAGAAACTCACTTAGTGAGTAGCAGTTAAAAATGACATGCTTTCTCTTTTCAACAACGGCAGACCATAATTTTCAGAGTTGCAAATACCAGACTTGTATGTAGCGATCATAGTCTCTTATTAAATAACAACTCTAGCTTGGAATTTTTAAACCTTAAGTGGTTTATAACTTTGTACTTTAATATGAGTTATTGACTAATAACAATACAAATAGTGTACATTTCATCTTGCATAATAAAAAGAGCAGGAACTTTGGAACTGTTTTTGTGTATGCTGTTTTTGTTCCTCTTATTGAGGACATTATCTGCTCATTGCATGTGTACTTGGGTTTCATTCATAAAAAAAAGAGACTACAATGGGGTTACAGTAGTCTGAGGATTGAAGACTATAATTTTGCATAATAAATATAGTAATTAATGTTATTACTAGACAGAATACCTTGATTGATACTATGTCTGGTACGCATGAAAGTTGAGAGAAGATTCAAGATTTATGCATTAAGAAACAACGAATCGTGTAAGGGTTTCTTGAACTAAAGGAAGTTTGTGTGATACCCTTACATGTAAGTTTGTTTAATATTTATGATGGATTTGTGGAATTGCTGTGTAAAATACAAACTGGCAAAATGCCTTTTCTAAAAAATATTTTTTTAGTTATAGATGGACGCAATATCTTTATTTTTTTTATATTTATTTTTATGTGGTGCTGAGGCTCGAACCCAGTGCCTCACATGTGTGAGGTGGGCGCTCTGCCACTGAGCTACAGCCTCAGCCCTGCAAAATGACTTTTAAATCGAACATTTGTTCCAAAAATCTGAAAAATTTTTAAAAATTTTTTTTAGTTTTGATGGACACAGTACCTTTATTTTATTTATTTATTTTTAGCGTAGTGCTGAGGATCGAACCCTCATATATGTGAGGCAAGCATGCTTCCACTGAGCCACAATCCCAGCCTAAAAGTCTGAAAATTTAATAGTTTTTTATCTTTTTTTAAAATCTGATACTAAAAATGTTGTGATTAGTAGAAAGAGCTACTATAATATTAAAAGGAAATTTCATGTAGAGAAGGAGCATAGTGTTTCGACATCATGTTCTCTCAGACTCCTTTAACTTCTTGAAGTTCTAGAGTTTCTTTTTTGTTGTCTGGAAAGGAGCTATATCTGAAGTGTACCCACCCCAAAGATTTTGGAAATCCATTTTGAATTAAGTTGCAGTAATTTGGCTTTCTCATTTTCATCCTCTATTTTAGAGAGGAGAGATTGAGTTTGAAGTAGTTTATGTGGCTCCTGAAGTGGATTCTGATGATGAAAATGTAGAGTATGAAGACGAGAGTGGACATCGTTACCGTTTGTACCTTGATGAATTAGAGGGAAGTGGTAATCCTGGTGCTAGTTGCAAAGATGCAGGTGGGGAAATCAAAGTGTTACAAGGTAAAAATCACTCTAAAAATTATTATGCCTAAATTTATTATTAATACATTTTAAAAGTGTAAAACCCTCTGTTCTTTAGTAATATTTGTAATGATGAGGAAACCAAAGCAATAAATAGCTTTCCCTTGCTTGTACACCACTGACTATTCTTAAATTTTATTTACGTGTATGTTTCTTAGATTCATCATAAGACTTTTAATATCCTTGAATGGTGAAGAAAATTCAAGTTTTCTAGGCTCTGAAACAAAGTCAACATACCTTTTAGAGTAGATATATGTTAATATATAGTCTCTCTTAATGCAAATTCTTCTCATAATACATGTAAAGTACATAATATATATATAATTTATAATTCATATAATTATATATATATATATATAATATATATAATTTATATGATGAGTAAGCTTTTAGATTTTTGTCTTATGAATCAGGACATGTGATCCTGAGGATCTTTGGTTTAGTTCCACCATTATCATTTACACTTTTTAAGGAAAAATTCCAGCTCTTTCTGGGTTCACTTCCATTGCTATCATTTACACATTTTAAGGAAAAATTCTAGCACTTTCTTATAGAGCAATGGTTCTGAAATTATGATCCATGGATCTCTAGAGCCTTAAGATCTTTCAGGAGTGAGGGGGGAGGTCCATGAGGTAGGTCAAAGCTTTTCATAATAATACCGAGATGTCATCTGTCTTTTTTATATTTGTATTGATCATATAAAAGCAATTGAGGTAAAACTGCTGGTGACTGCTAGCATGAATCAAGGCAGTAGCATCCAGCGATACTAGAAATCATTGTTTTCTTCCTTGCCATTCACTCAGTTAAAGTGAAGAATAAAATGATGGTTTCATTTAAGCATTCTTGATGAAATAGTAAGAACCTTATTTGTAAGAGAAATTGATATTTTGAAATGAAACCATAAAAACTCTTCATTTTCTTAAATGTTGACCCTTGAGTATGTTGCTTTGTAATAATCTGTATGATGAGATGAAAGTACACATAAAGCACTTATCTTGCATAATGCACAAAGAACCTGGCCTCAAAGGAAAATACTAACCTGATCTACTATCTGAACTAGATATTTTTTTCATGGAAGGTAATTTTTACTTGAAAGAATTACTGACAGTGTATGGTTGTTAGACTGTTTGGCAACCATTATTTTAAAAATGAACAAAATTGGTTCATAACTTCAAAGAAGACAACTAGCAGTATTATAGAGTTTTATAAAAGATGCATCAGTCACCGTGAGCTTGACAGCTTCCCAACACTTAGAACTTTCCCTTGCTTATACACCATTGGCTATTCTTAAATTTTGATTGATTCTGATATTAATGAACGTGAGGTTTTTTTGTTTGTTTGTTTTGTTTTGTTTTTACAGTGCTGGGAGTTGAACCCAAGGCCTGTAGCCCACTAAGCAAGCACTCTAGTATGAGTTATGTCCCTTGTCTTTGAATGCAATTTTTTGTTTTAGTAAAATGAAATGTGTCAATTTTTGAAATTCCTGCATAACTCAGTGGTGCAGTACTTTTGAAATGACAGAATATAATATTGCCAAATTGTGTATGGGTTAAAATGCAAATAAGGCAAATGTATTTTAGTAGCAGATTCTTCATTGATAAATTTTCAGTTTTTACATTGTCAAGTTTTGGTATTATATCAAAGAATAATATTGACATTTATTTGAAAAGACTATTAAAATACTCTTACTTTGCTGTTTATTCCTGAGGGACTGGATTTTCTTCATTTACTTGTAACAAATTGAGCAGAAGCAGAAATGAGAATCTACACAGCAACTTTCTATGCATATAAGTGGCTTTCTGTAAAGTCATATACTAAGGAGAATGGCAAAATTGGAAAACTGTGCTATTCTGACTAAATTTTTTTTTGTTTGGAATGTAGAGTTGTCATTAAACATATGTTGTTTATGTTCACATATTGCATTTATTCTTGTCATTTTTAAAGAAGTAATGCAATTTTTTAGCTTTCTCAGTTTTAATTACAAATATGGTAAACATCAGTATCTGAAATTCATGTAAACAGAACAGAGTAAATTAATTCATATTCTACATTCCAGAATGTTAACTGTAGTGTTTCAAAGGAGAACTTTACTCAGTAAATTGAAGAAATGTAGCCTTGGCTTAAGTTTTTTTAACCAAAAGAATGGTTTTAGGGTTTAATTTAGTGCTTATTAAATATATGAAAGCATTCTGAGACCAACAGGTAGAGAACTCAAGGCATAGAGTATTATGATAAACTGATGAACTCTGTTGCCTGTTTGGTAAACCTGTATGTTGTTGATTGTGTACACAAAGGCATCAGTAGCAATTACTGTTCTCTGCGTGCCTCTTAAACAAAACTATTGTGGTAATATGTTCAAACTTTACACTGTTCACTGATTCCCCCATGGTCTCATGGGGATTTATTCCTTTTTTAGCTGAGGCCACTTCTCTGACACCATGCAAATTGAAGACACTTACATTGTGTCTCAAATAATCAAAAATATATACTTACAATTTATCATTGTAACTTACGCACATTTTTTTTTGTATACACAAAAATGTATCTTTGCTTATTGTTTGGCACTTAGCTATACTTCATAGCTCACTAGGTGCTGTAGTTAACTCTTATTTGTTTACAAGTCTCTTTATTTTGTAGAGTAAACAAAATTAGTTTTAAAGTTTAACTAGATATGATCTTGCCAACAAATGATTTTTAGCAAACAACTTGTATGTACTTCAGTTAACTAAAGTTAATTTTAATAATATGAAAGCCAAAATGTAAAATAAAAATATAATTCACAATTCTGTAGGTATTTGTACTGATATCCAGTTGACTAAATTTTACAATTGTGTGTGTCAATTCTAAGTTTCATAGAACACTTAATAAGAAATTTTGTATGATTTTTAGGTAGGGCCCAATAGGTAATACTTTAAAATCTGCATAGTGTTTGCTATCTACCATAAGAAAGAAAAATTCTTTTGTTTAGGAATTGCTAACTTGATTACTCTGAGATGGGGTTATTATATTGGGCGTTCTTTTGTTTTTTTGTGCAATAAAATTAAAAAACTAAGTTTTTTTTAGATCAGAAAGTATCTGCTTTTATTATTTTCTTTTCTTTTAGGATATAATAAGAAGGCAGTAAGTGATGCACATGAAAATGGAGACATGGGAACTTCAAATGAAACGCTGCAAGATGACAGTGCTTCAAAATTAGATGATCTGCACAGCCTGTATCATAAAAAATCTTATTAAATTGACTGTATCTCCAGACAAGATTGTTAATCAGACTATTTTGAATTTGGGGCACTAGGGAAGATGGTGACAAAGACTACACAAGATGAAGGGAGGCTGTTTGTTGCCTAAGGAAAGGCGGGTACCTCAGGGCTTCGTGTGAACAATTCTAAATGCATAAAACTCGGTTTTCTGTGTTATACCATAATTAGCTATTGCATGTAAAGCAATTTTGATTTTCTTGAAATTGTAAGCACCAAAGCATGTGTTTCCCAAAGGGATTTTACTAGGCTCATAAGTACCAAATGAAGTGCTACTATTTTATTTGGTTCTTTTCCTGTTTAGTAGAAGGACAATGTTAACTGGAATTTTATTTTAAAAAAATAGCCTTTAAATACAAGAGAGTAAATTAATTCATATTGTACATTCCAGAATGTTAACTGTAGTGTTTCAAAGGAGAACTTCACTCAGTGAATTGAAGAAATGTAGCTTTGACTTAAGTTTTTTTTAACCAAAAGAATGGTTTTAGGGTTTAAAAAATACATATTGTGCATCCTGACGTCTAAATTAGTTCTTCATGATCATTTATTATGAGTTTTCCTTCCAGCTTTTTCAATGCAGTACAAAGTAGTTTTCTTTAAGCAATCCTTTATCAATCAATGCTGCACTAGAAATAGTTTATGAAAAGTTACTGTACATTTTACTTTTGGTTTTTGAAAGAAATGAAATGAGTGTAAAATACCTGTTCTCAATTATGTTGATCTGTGTGCATGGTATTGGAACATTACACTATTAATGTTTTGTCTTAAATGTTTATGGGTTCCATGAAAGACAGTTTTATACATTTTGAGTTGTTCATAAAATTTGTCTTGTGATAGTTCTGGCACTTAAAGATAAATTTTTCTGGCAGGAAAGGCTCAAATTTATTACTGTGTCTTGAAATACATTGCATTCAAACAACGGTTTTATCTAAGTACCTGATTTGCCAATCATCCAAAAGTTGGGGGCTAAGGTAGGCAAGATGAGGTGAAGAGATTTTAATACATTAATTGATTTGATTTTCATACCAATATGTTTTACTAAAGCAATTTTCATATGCAAAATTGGGATTTGCTAGTTTTTTTGTCCCAGGATTAAGCATAGCTATGCCTCTTTTATTATTTACTATTCTGCAGGGCATTGTTACCTTCTGGGCAAAATTGTATTTAAAAAAGTGTTGGTTTTTGTGAATGTCATTGTTTTAAAGGATATACACTTAAGGGAATATTAAATGGAAGAAAACTTACATGCTTTTAAAATATTACCAGTATCTTTATTTCTAGTATTCAGATGTTGATAAAACTCATTTTCTTGTCTTTTCCAAATGTACTATATGTTTGTTGAAAGTTAAATCTATAAAATGTATATACTTTATTTTGTGATTTTACTATTTATAAATTTAATGTTGTAACTGTTGCTCGTTTATGGTTTGTTTGGGGTGGTTATGTTCATCTGTAAATCACCATGTTAATTTGTAACTAGAAGTGCACTTCATAGTGTATATTGTTACTGATATTAATATGCTTTGGTAGCGCTAACATTGCTTCTGAGCAAAAGTTAGTATTTAATTGTACAAATGAATAAGCAAGTTACTTATTATTGTTTGCTCCAGACAGGCTGGGCCTCTTAAAAGAAAAGGATTGATTTTTCTTCATGCATTCCCTCTATGCCAAACCCATACACCTATGCATGACATAAGATCTGCAAACTGGATTTTAGCCAGTTTATTCATTTAGTTAAAAAGAAAAGAAATTCTGTGTGGCAGATCTAAAAGTTTTGCTGTGACATGAAACCATGTTATTATCTTCTTAAAACATGGCCTGGATGGAATGACCGTGGCATTTTTTCAGAGAATATCCTTTTTTTTACGATGACTGAATCCATAGGAAATGCAAGCTATAATCCTTCAATTTTTAAGAAATACATATCTAAAGAGTTTTTTTAAAAAAAACTTTGATAGTTTTGCATATAATTTGAAGGATTGTATGACTATGATATAAATTCTTTTCAAGGGTTGATAAACAGAATAAAAAGTTTTCCAAGTAGCTTTAAGATTTCACAGGTCAGTTTCTTTTTCATCCTGCTTCATCATGGTTTGCAGGCATACATGAGGGTACAGTTGTTTAGATGCTTCTGTGAGCTTCCTCAGAAGGTACCTGGTTGAAAGTTCATTTTAGAATATATGGTCTTTGTGGGGGATCTGAGTTTCAGGCTTTCCCCCAAAGGACTGAGTGAGAACCAGTTTTTGTGTGTTTACATTTATAAAAGGAAACCCATGCAATACTAAAGCTTCTGTGACAAAGCCAAATGGATAAGAAGGGATCTGCTACGAAGCCATCACAGCGGAAAAGTGAAAAGAGAAAACAAAATACATGTGTACAAAAACAGTAATTGAAAAAAAAATTGTTCAGTAGAATATGAGGGTTATATATGTGTGTGTATTTAGACTTTTAACCTCTGAAATTCTCTTCTATAGTATCTCTGTTATGAATATGACCAAAACAACATTTGGATTATAGGACTATTGTTTAGATTTAAGATGATGACAGTTTTGTGGGTCTTGATAATTATAACTAAACAGTTGCCAAAAGTTAATGCAATTTGTCCATGGTGCTGGTTTTTTCTTTACCACAGTAGACTTATTTTGTTTCATATTTAAAAGCAAGAAATACATTGATTCACATGTAAGTTGTACATTATTTGACATCTTTATTATGGAGTCCAGTATTCTACCTATCTAGCCTTTCACTTAGGGTCAGCCTCAAATCTATAGGATTTATGACAAATGTGTTATATCTAGTTGAGTTAAATATTTTTATTAGCCTGTAAATAAAGATAGCATCTCCTACATTAAAATGCTATTGATCTCATTTTTATTTATTTATTTTTTGCAGTGCTGTTGGTCAAACCCAGGACCTTGAGCATGCTTGAGAAGTGCTTTTTCACTACACCACACCCCCGGCCCTTGACCTCATTAAAAGAAAATAAACACCATATATTTCTTTCAAACAAATATTTTGGTTTATTATTTATTTTAAGTAGATTCTATTATTTGTGCTAGCATGTCAAAATCTACACAAAGGCTGAACCTAGTTGGGGTGGTAGAACAATATTAGTTTGGAATAGGAAGAAACTGTTTAATCTCAGTAGTCATTTAATCTGAATTAATTAAAAGCATTTTGGTTGGAAAGAACAATCTGAGCAACTGTGGGACCAGTTTTCTGCTGAAAGTTAGCAGACAACAAAAACCCTTGTCTTTGGTTTAGTTTTGTGGTATAAATATTGGCAGTTAATGTTATTTGTGAGGATAACATTGATAAAAATTAGAGTAACTTAATTCTGTCAGTATTTAAGAGGATAGTCTTTCATTTTAGAATCTAAGTGTACATAATTTAGAAGTATCCAAGTTATTTCCAAAATATTTTTTAGAAAACATTGATAATGGATATAAATCATATTTTAGAAAATGTGTTGAATTTATTATGTACATTTAGAAATGTTTGCTCTTTTGTTATCAACAAATTTGATTTCATTCTAAAACTTTTATGTTTTCTGTGTGTTGGCTTAAGCTTCCAATTCCTGTTGTTTGGAAAAGAAGTCTGTTTCCAGAACTCATTCTCATGGGATATTGTGCAGTTTATAAGATTTAAAAGATGATTTGCAGTTTCATTGTTAATCAGTGTTTATAACAAATTACTATGTGCTACTGGTGCTAAATATTTTGTTTGATAATAAATCTTTTCCAGGTGTATTTTGAGAGCCATACCCACCATGGCGGCAGCCATGAGATTGCATCTGTCGTATCTCCAGCAGGAGAGAGCATAGCTGTCTACAGATTCAGCTTCCTTGCTCTGAAACTGTCCCTGTGTTCAGGCTGAGGCTATCATTCTTCATGCTGCTGCCAGCCAATGACTGATCATCACAGGGATACTATGTCTCCTGGATGTTGACTGGAGGACTCCCTGAAAGTCTTGCCAAACTCCCTTAAGTATTACATTGTAGTCTAAATTGCTTTCAAACAACCTTCCCTCTTTATTCACCTGCATTATGGTCTGGTTGTCTCCAAGTGCCCTACCTGTTTTTCCTCACCAGAATTACCACTAATAAATCTATTGCACATCAGATCCCTTTCTGGTGTTGGTGTCTGCTTTTAGGGGAACTCTGATGAAAACAAGTTGTCCAAGAGTGAGATATGAGGAAATAGGTAATAAACTGGGATTTAAGAGCTGGCTTATCCACCCTGCTCCAAAGAGTAAAGAGGATGACATTTTGGCAGTATATGGCACAAGGTTATATAGCATATGGCACAAGGTTATGGTGCTAAATATTTTTAGTTGTTTAGTATTTTGTAGAAGATTTACAGAAGATTTAACAGCAGTCATGGACCTGTTGTCTTTCGAAAGGCCTGCTTATATTGGTCCTTGGCTAGTGTCTAGCAACTTGGATTTCCCATTTACTAACTTAACATAGGTGATTTACTGTGCCTGAAATGTTTGTAAAAACAGTAGGATTTGTGTTGAACACCTGTTTTCCCACCGGGGAATCTAGAATTTTGGTACATACTAGGCAGAGGGTGCCTATGTGACTGACCCTTACAAAATCTTGATCAGTGGGCTCAGTCAGGCCAGCTTCCCTGGTGAACACTTTATATGTATTGTTTGTTACCCATCATTGCTGGATGCATTAGGCAATCCTGTTTGCTCCAATGGGAGAAGACTTAAGAGTTTGTACCTAATTTATTGTTAATTTTTGCATATGTGCCTTTTCCCTTTACTGATTTTGGTTTGTGTTCTTCTCTATAATAACTCATAATTGTGAGTATGATCCTTTGCTTAGTCCTGTAGGCCCTTTTAGCAAATCATGCAATTTGAGGGTGGCCTTGGAGACCCGAGACACAGTCTGTAATTGGGGGAAAATGTCCCTAAAGAGAGGAATTTTCAAGGAGTTTCCATGATGCAGGTATTTGAATAATGTGGGAAGAACAATGTCTGGAAGAGAGCAGAGTTGACTGGTTACTACTAGGTTGTATTAGTGACCTACAGAAAGATAATGATACTGTGATCAAGCTGTTAATGCCTAAATGTGAGAGCCAGAGGTCCTTGTTGATGGAGAGCATTTCAAAGAGGCCTTCCTGCAATGAAAGGATGAAAACAGCTGAATTTCAGGCCAAACATCTTAATTGTTAAAATTGCAGAGTTTTGGAAGCTTGAATGCTTTGCCAAGACCTATTTTGTGAAAGTCAAAGCATCTGTATGGATGGATACCCCTGAGGATACTAACTCTGCTGTTCCTACCTGATCCCTTATCTTACAGAAGTTACCCACTCGCCCTAATAAGACCTAGCACCTCCTCTATGCTACAAGATGCTCATAGATCTTGCTGCTAATCCCTTCCCTCCAAAACTCTGGCACCCCCACATACTCTCTTTCCTGACTTATAGTAGTAATAAAGTCTGGCAAAGCCTACCTGGATATGCTAAAGGAAAAAGGAGATATGCACTAAAAATTTAAGAATTAGCTAGCATATCCTGGCAGATTACTTAATTTACTATGAAGTCAAAATAGTTCTAATCTTGTACATGATATTTAAAATAAAATAGCTTCAAAATGCAGAAAGCAAAAATTGAACAAGAAAACTAAAAATCTCACAGTGGGAGATTATAGTATTTTGAAAACGATATGAAATAGGAAAATTTGAACAGCAAAATCTTGTTTTATAGTTCAAGTTAAGAGTGTAATATTTGGTTGTAAAGGAAGGACCTCTGGCTTCTAAGTAGGAACAAACTATACCAAGGACAATTATATAAACAAATGTAAACCCCTGGAACTGGGATTCTTGCTTTGGAAAGGCAGAACTTGCAATTTGTTGAATTGCCAGCAGGGGGAAGCAGATTCAAAATGTGATGTTAATTTAGTCTGCTACAACTGAAAGGCTTTTTGAAAAGTATTAAAATATTGTTAGGATGAATAAGTTGAAGACTGAAAAAGTTATATTATTTATTTAGAGTTACACCACTAGTAAGTATTAGAATAAGGACTCAAATTCCTCACAATTTTAGCTTAATAGGCTATAAGAAGGAAAAAAGATACATGAAATTACAGGCTTTTCAGTCTTTCTCCCCAGCTGATTATTTTCATTTTTCTTAAATGGTACAAGGTTTGGTGGAGCCTAAGTTTTTAGTTTTTTAAATAATAAGTGAGATGGATTTAAATTTCATGAGAAATACCTTTGTTGCAGTTAGGTAAATATAGAATGCAAGAAAGTTCTTAAACCTAGATCCTTGTGATTAAAGCATTTCCCTCCTCCCTGCCAACAAATACTTAGGGAATAGAATTATCTCTTCCTGTGTGCCCACTGTCATATTTTTTAGAATATTAGTGATATTTTTGTTATCTTCACTAGATGCTCCCTACTGTCATTATGGTTGAGGGAATTTTTAGCTCTGTCTAATGTTATATTGAGTGGGCTGTTTGCTTCTGAAAGCACAAAAGTCTTAAAACTAATTTTAAAAATAAAATGATTTTTCAGAGGAAAAAGACAATAAAGTTAACTGTTGACTGGGTCATAAAAAAGAATAAATGCAAATACACAAAATAAAAATTAAGGGAGAAAGCAATAGCAACTAAGAGACAGTATTTTGTTCCATTATATAGGAATAAATGTGAAAACTTTTCTAGGAAGGTGTAATGTAACCAAATTGACTCCAGTGAAGTTTTAAAATTCAATTTTTTTAGGGAAGAAAAATGGCAAAAAGCTGTCAAAGCACCTCTCCCACATATTACCAGAATATATGGTCTTAATGGCATCACCAGTGAAAGAGCAGGTAATTTCAATGCCTAGCAAAAGAAGAACTGACAGAAGAAATTTTCTAAATTTCTAAGTCTGATCATGTTTTCTTTTCAAAGAAAACAAAAGACCTAACTGGCAGAAGAATATTGTTGCAAAGATCAGTATGGATTTGGCAACATGTTAATAGATTCATCCATTGTAACCAAGTTTTTAAATATTAGAGCATCTAGTGATGTAATTAATCGATGGGTCTCTG